TATTTTGTTGCAGTAGTGGTTTCTTACTTTCAGAAATAGTATGTTTGTACGTGCGACTACATAAATGCTGCCTATATCTACAAAAAAACATACTTTTCCATGCACAAAGCTACAATATACGTATGTTATTTGCTGCCAAAGCTTTTTTTTCAAAATTTAACCCAAAAAGCAAAAAAAGCGTAATTAGCAAAATTTAATTAATATATAGAGATAATGCAGTTTTCCAAATACATTGCCCCAATTATTGTCGGATATAAGAAATTATGGTATTCATAAAATATCCTAAGCTCTTGGGGCAAGACAAGTTAACTTAAATTAATGGCCGATTATGGTAAAAATATCACAATTACATTTTGTGTTAGCATATCCACTGTTTTAACTGTAAAAAATAGTTTTTAGACAAGCTTAGAGTTTCTTTAAATTACTTCCTAGTGCAAATTACAGTTTTTTTTCAAAGTTTAAGGTTTGTAGAAATTCATTAAAATATCTCTTTTGGTTTTTTGAATTAAAATTTTTTTAGTGAAAAAGAGGCGATGGTGGTGCAGCCTTTCCTCTTTTAGATAAAAGAGGTCAGCTGTAAAACCATAAAAAAATCTTAACGTTCCAAAAATCATTTCGTTTTTGAAAGTTGCAGTTTTTTTTGTGGAAAGTACAGTTCTTTGCCTGGGAATTCACAGGTTTTTGAAAATTAAATCTGGCCACACTGGTTAGAACTCGCTCTAGTAACTTTTTTAAGTTTATATAAGTGCGAGCATTCCTTTTGGGTGCTACAAAAAAATTCATGCGGAAAAATGAATTGCTTTTTCTTATAATGTTATCACTTTTAAATTTGGTTCGTAACCATAACGATGAAACAATTATTCCAGCGCTCGCTGAGCCGACTATCAACGCACGTGTCCAAAAGTACACCTTAAGAGTGTCCTCCGTACACTATTCACTAGGAATGCAGCTTTCTGGTAAGACACTGCGCTCTGGGAAGCGGCCTGATTTGGATGTCAGTAGAGGCGACCGAGAGAGAGCTTGGACATTCCCGATCTGCTTCTGTCAAACCATAACTATAAGATTAACGCATCGTCACACACTCACTGTTAACAGTTACAATTTTGAAAAAAAAGTAGAGGCTTTTAATTTTTGACAACCAGCAATTTCACTGATAATAACATCGGCCTTATAATTCGACAAGGAATTTTACTTTTAGGCTAAATAAGTAGACAATTGGGAAGTAAGGCCAATGTTGGTAATGACAACATATGACGAGGCGGCTCTTCACCATTTCAAAGCGTTTCTGGTAAAATTACAAGCAAGTCGGCAAGTCTGCTGCGCGTTCAATTTGTTTAAGATTACACTTTCATAAGGGAATAAATTCCAATTTGTGTGCATAATAGTCTGCAGTGAATGTCTGCTGATACCTATTTGAGCAGATAAGCTCCTTGTCGAAACCTCTGAGATTTGAGCAGATTAATTATATAGAAACAAGTTACTAATTATCTGTTTGGTAGCAGATTTCAACAGCCACCTAGTGCAAATAATATATTTGGCTGTTACAAGCAACCCATATGCGCCTGAATTATGTAGATATCTTAACCCTTAATTAGGCACTCGGGGCCAAGATCATTTCCAATTTAAAAAGGTTTTGAAGTGCTTGGAGCACTTTCAGGCTCATTATAGCTTCCTCCCTCCCCGGGTGTTAGGTAATTTAATCACGACCAGAACGTCGGCACGTACATAAGTGTGGCTGCTCTCTTGAATGCTGACCGCATGCGATCACCAACGTAAAATTTTTTGGCGCAAATAAATTTTTATTTTTATTTTATTTTGAAGTTATACAATTTGTGTTCATTTTAGTTAACTATAATAAAGAACTTTTATATATTTCATAATACCTACACACCTCCTTTTATTATTTATTTCTGACATTCCTTCTTTAACATTTTTATTTGGGTCACTCAATGCGACTAATTATGTGATTTTATTTATGCGCCTAACTAAGGGTTACACCTTCTGTCAAGCTAATTTTGCATTTGTGTCACTCTATAATTACACAAATACTTTATAAGTCCATGTAAATAATTTTAATTGCATGGTTTGGGAAATAATTGAAGTGAAGTAACTCGCATGCACAATAGTTCATTCAAAACACTTGATTAAATGTGTAAAGCCATAATTTGCGGCAAGCCAAAATGTTACACACGAAGCATATTATTAAATTTATAAATATGTATGTATATTTTCGGCGTGGTATTCAAATTTCAAAATTATGCACATTGAATTTCAACACACGACTAAAAAGTTAAATTTGAGGCAGTTGCCTAAAAACAAGGACACATTTACAAAACCAAACACATACATATATGTACATGTGTGTTGTAATTTACATACACATTCAAGCAAAACTGAAAACCATATGAAATTTGTAGGAGGGAGAAAAAGGCGCAAAGTATGCCGAGTTGAGGCTGATACAGCAACAGATAAACAGTCAAGCAACAAATACTCTGTATACATGTGAACTTTTTTGTATTGCGCTCGCAATTTTATTCACCTCCTTCTTGTGGTTTTCATATCTACATACATGTGAGTCACGTATGCGGTGAGAGAACTTTATGATTTTATTTTGGTAATTTGCATATCATTTTGAAAACCGGAAATTCAATTGGTAAAATTCGCACGAAGTAAATATAGAGGAAATTAAAAAAAAAATAGAGTTAAAAATATATGATATGAGTTTATTTTAAAGCCAAAATTGTCACCATAAGTGATTCGCTAAACAGCCATATCACTCTCGGTATTGCGAATGCGGTCTACATGGCGCATGAGTAACGTGTCGTGCACAAATTGCATGCGATTAAAGTAATGACATGATAATTTAGTACACAAATATAAATGTAAGCGTGGCGATGTGAATATGAAATTGTTTTTGTGGATTTTAATTTGCTAGCAATAAATTTTCTGCAAAAGCGCTTTTCATTGTGGCTTGCTTTTCATTTCTGTTGCAGGCTTTTCGCTTTAATAGTCCATCATAAATCTAAACAAAAGAATTTATTGTTTCGTATTTTTTTCTCCACTCAACCACCTTTGGCATTTTTCCGCTTCAGCCAAACTTCTTTCTTGCCTTCAACACTGTTCTTGTGCCCAAATGTCAATGCCAAGGTCAATGCCAAGAAAGAAAAAAAACCCTAAGCTAAGATCACTGTCGACATGTCTCCTACGCGGTCTCGTTGCTGGTACCCTTTTAATATTTTGGCGACGAAATTATTGCACATCTTTTGCAAAAAAAAATAAATAAATATCAACAGACAGCCAAAAACGTTGTACAAATTTGTAGAAATGCTGGATTGTTTTGCCAAACGTGCTGCTGCAGAAAAGCCATTACAGCCATTAGCAGCAGCTGCTGAAAACTTTTTGCACGCCAATATTTTCTTTTTTTGCTATTGCCATTTATGTTGGCATGCATTTTCTGGCGCTTGTTCATTCTTGCTCATTTTACGCTTTTAAAGGAATACATTTTTTTGGCTCAAATGGAATAATTTTTATTTGCCAATAATATACTCGCACTTCCGATGGACGTCTAGGCGTCTAGATGATCAAAAGGAAGGAAGACAAGAAATGATTTGTTAAGGCCAACGCAGCAGTATGTGTGTGTGAAATAAAAGTCGAATGCTCAACTCAATGCCATCTTTAAGACTTGCCAATTTACAAATTTGTTGTGTTTTACATAAATGCTGTTTATTTTTTTTGCCACCCAAATTTATCGGAATTTTTCCCTTTAATGCAAGTAAATATTTGTTTACTTAAATCTGTATTATTTTTGTTTGTATAGTTTTTAAAATTTTAACCAAAATGAAATTCTCTTTTGTGCTTGCTTGATTGTTCAAAAGTTCAGTTTTTCAAACCAAAAAACAAACTTTTTTCCAGACAAAAAAAACAGTGCCTGGTTAAGTAGCCGACTTGTTATGCCGAATATCAAGCCAGTATTTGGCTTGAATGCACCTGTGCGGTTTCCATCCAGAAAGGAATATAGAAGTGGCATTCTGATGATGAGGAAGCCATACGTATTTATCTACACTGATGAATCCAAGATCGACTGCGAGGAGGAGCCGTTTCCAAGGGGAATTGTTTCAATCGGTGTCTGCGGCTGCCAAACCATGGTAGCACATTTCATGCTGAAGTCGTGGGCATATGTGAGGCCTAAGAGTGCTACTAAGAAAAAAGCGGTGATTTACTCAGACGTCCAGGCAGCACACCTGGATATATAATTTCCTGATACCAAGTGTAAGCTAGTTCATGAATGCAAGATAAAACTACGATCGGTGATGCAGTCAATGTCCAGCTCTCTTCTCTGGGTACCTGTCATAAGAACCTAGAAGGCAACGACAGAACAGACAGGAGTATATGTTGAAAAACAAATATATTTTTTCCCAAAATTCTTGTGTTTTCTTTGTTAGGTCGGGTACTTCTGGGACCACCCCCCCATACTTATTGGATCCCCGCTGATCTGTGTGCATATTATTGACTAACCATTCGAAGCCTTTCACCCAAGTTGATGTTTTTATAACAGCACAAAACCAAATCCCCAAGTGAGAAATTTCAAAGAATGTTGTCAAACCTGCGTAGCCAACTCAATATATTCTGGAGATGTACCCTTCTAGGCCGAAATATGGATTTCACGAGATATTTTTCGTTAGGAATAGCAACAAAATACCTAACTTCTTTAGATAAATGTATCTTCAGCATGTGCCCTCCCTTTTTATAGAGAAGGACGTTGATCTTTATGAACTTGCATTTATTTTACATCGACTGCATCACCTCACATCTGAGTTAAGCACAGAATTCAACCGCAACTAAAAACTTCATTTTCCCCGATGGAAAAGACTCCGAACTTAATATGCTTCTGTTGTGTTCGCTCATAAACTGTCTTCGAGAGAGGTCTACTGCCAGATTACTGCAGCGAAGTAAACGCTGAGATAGATGCATTTGACATGGCGGCATAGTGTGAGTAATATGGTAGACAGATGAACAAAATTAATTTGAATTAAGAAGCACAAATGCAAATTGAAATTTCACCCTGACAGACGGCAACCTTGTGCATTTAATCAGCTGATATTGAAGAATTTTTTTTTCTGTAATCGCCAAGTGAAAATGGATAGAAGAAAAATTTTGTTATTGACAGCTATTCTGTTCGTAAAAAATCAAGTTTTATTTTGTGAAAAAATTCAGTTACTATTACTTAAATTAATAAATAATAGGGCGCAAATAAATTCTATTTTGAGCAGTCACGCGATCCTACGAGCCAGGATTGCAAATGCCCAGTCCGACGTACGGCGGATCTGGAAATTCGTAAGTAAAAATGTTCTTTTATAAAGATTTTAACCATTAGTTGTATCCCTAAAGGACCGCAGTAGCAGATTTTGGGAGCACGATGTCCGTGCAATGGACGACGCAAGATTCAGAGAAAACTTTCGTCTCGATAGGAGGGCTTTTCAAAAAGTGTGCGAAAAAGTACGAAACATGGAGAAAATTGATAGCAACCTGAGGCGTTGTATTCCACTCGAAAAGAGGGTGGCTATCGCACTTTTCTCATTGGGTTCTGCAGCAGAGTATAGAACCGTTTCTAGTTTATTTGGAGTTGGCCGAAGTACTGTTGGTGAAATTGTTCTGGATTTTTGCCACTCAGTTTGCGATAATTTTGCGGATTGCATTAATACATACCCCCCAAATCAACAAGAAATCAAAAGAATCGTAGACGGTTTCGCAGTCCTAGGGTTTCCGCAATGCTTTGGAGCTGTAGATGGATGTCACATTGAAGTGCAGCCAAGAAAGGAGGATGCCGTAGATTACCACAATTACAAAGGATGGTATTCCGTGGTTTTATTGGCAAGCTGTGATCACAGGTATGTAAATTTATGGCTGCACTGTATCGCATGCATATGTATATTTTTAAATTATTTGGACTTACAGGTCAAAATTTACGTATATTAACATTGGATCTACTGGAAGAAATAATGACTCTTACATATTTGAAAAAAGTTCATTAAAACAATTTCATGAAAGCGCAGACATTTTCGTACAAAATAGCGAGCTTATTGGCGGATTCAATATACCTGTGCTACTTATGGGCGATTCGGCCTTTCGGTTATCGCGCCACATGATGAAACCATATCCATATGTAGCTAACCAACCAGCTGCTGAAAAACTCTTTAACTATCGCCTGTCCAAATGTCGGCGTGTGATCGAAAATGCTTTCGGCCAGCTGAAGGCTCGTTTCCGAAAAATAGGGAGAGGCTTACAAGTAGCACCTAAAAATGTTAACGTTATAATACAGGCCTGCTGTATTTTACACAATTTTTTTAAAACTTGAGAACGATGAAGTTTCTTCCGTCTGGATGCAGGATGCAGCAGAATACGGATCAGCAAGGAATCAACCTAATCACACAACAAGAGTTGGTGAAAATGACCTAACAGCAGCGGCTATAAGGAATGCCATTGCTATGAGTTTTCGTAAGGAAAAAGACTCTATTTTGCTGCTCGCAGTAGTTATTTTTATTTAAATTCATTTCCTTTTCAGTTATTTTCTATTTCAATTCACTTTTGCTTACATAAATACATATATATGTGCCTAAAATTAGATTAAAACCAAAATTAAATCAATTTTTATTCTACTTTTTTTTGTCTTTTTTGAGTAGGCAGATCACCTCCAACTTTGCCATACTTACATATAAGTATACTCATGAACAAAAAAATGGGTGTGCGGCATTTTGATAAATTTTGGTTGTATTTGGATTTTTTTATTTAATGTTTATTAACTTTTTATAAAATTCTAGCGTTTTATACAATAAACAACATAAGTAAAATTCCACACTTCAAAGCTTGTACAAAATCTAGAAAAATTTATAAAACTTTTTTAGCAGAATATTTAGAAAATTTTTTGGTATGCAGTTTTCTAAATCATTAAATTTTAGTGTATTAAGTGTATCTTCAGAGCGGCTGAGAATTCGCATTGATTTTTAATAATTTTTTTTGCTGACGGTTCTACGCATATAGAGTATGCGAAACCATTTTCCTTATATGGTCAGCAGAAAGATTTATTAAAAATCAGCTCGAATCCTCAGCTACTTAAAGATGCACTTAATATACTAGAATTTAATGGTTTAAAAAACTGCATACCAAAAAGTTGTCTAAATATATTACTAAAACAGTTTTTATGAATTCGTAACTTTGAAATGTGGAATTTTACATATGCTCTTTGTTATATAATACGCTAGAATTTTGTAAAATGTTAATAAACATTAAATAAACAAAAGCCAAATACAAACAAAATTTATCAAAATGCCGCACACCCATTTTTTTTTGTTCATGAGTGTTTAAACATACATATGTACAGTATCGGTCATATCTATAGCACGCCATTTCAAAGTGATATTGTGTGCCACTTATGTTTATTTATTTATTTTTAAGAATTTTCAATTAAAATACGGTTTTTTATCTAACAGAACCCATATAAACCCAAGTTTAAAAACTTATAGAAAACTACAAAAAAGTGCAACAAATTTTAACCTAAATTTCAAACTTTTTTCTCGGAAGTGTTTGAATTTTTCTGAATACACAGTTTTTTAGCCCAATTAATTTTAGTCTGATAATGTGCAAGTTTCAAGTGGCTAAAAGTTACCGCTGATTTTTTAGAATTTTTTTCGCCAAGGATGTTGCGGTTTTCTTCCATATACAAATAAATTGAGTTTATTCATTATATGGAAGCCAATGCGACAAAAAAAATTCTAAAAAATTAACGGTAATTCGTAGCTACTTGAAATTTGCACATTATCAGACTAAAATTGCAGGGGCTAAAAAACTGTGTCCTCAAAAAAATTCTATCACTACCGAGAAAAAAGTTTGAAATTTAGGTGAAAATTTGTTACACTTTTTTGTAGTTTTCTACAAATTGTTGAACTTGGGTATATATGGGGTTTGTCCGAGAATGAACAAAATTTTAATTGAAAATTCTTAAAAATAAATAAATCAACATAAGCGGCACACAATATCACTTTGAAATGGCGTGCTATAGATATGACCGATACTGTATACTACTTTAAGTTACATTTTTTCCAAAACGCTTTTCATTAAACTAATAAATTCTTTTGTCGCACTACTTTGCTCTTTAATAGCATTAACGCATTCTGCTGTTAAAACTTTTCCGTCGTCTATGACCACTTTTAACAGCTCGTTTTGCTCTTTAGCTAATTGCACCACCTCACCCATATAATTTCTTTTCCTTTTAGAGGATGTGGAAGCTGCAGTCGAAGTGTCAAGTGGCGAAGAACTGGACAACTCCACCGGCGACGAAAGCGGTGACGAAGTTTGAGGCGATGGTGACGGTGAAGGTACAGCGGTTGGTGACGATGGATGTGCTGCGGTTGATGACGGTGCAGCAGCAGCGTATGGATACGACTGAGGCACTGGGGATGGGGACGCTAAACTCGATGGTGATGGCACCGGCTGTGGTCCTGATGTCAATATATCCTAAATTTAAGAAGTTTTATGTATTTTTAAAGTTTTACAAAAATATATGTACATATATATTTATGTGTGAAACTGAAATTTTACCATTGAAAAAGATTCTAAAATCTCAGCGTTGTTTGCAGCGTTGAAACCGATGATTTGGTGGACTGCGTCAAAATGTTTCCACAGCGAGGGACTCCCACCAGATGGTCCTACCTTTTTCTTTTCTTCTCTGAAATTTTACGTACATTTGCAATTAGTGTTCAGAATGGTTAAATGGAAAATGACTTACCTATATCTTTGGGTCATGTTTCTTATTTTTATGTGGACCTCCTTTGCACTAAACTTTGACGCCATCTGTGTCGATATATCCGCATATATATGCAGATTGCGCTTCGCCCGTCGCAAGTCATCCGCACGTTCCGCCCATAAATCCAATAGCACTTTCTCGTCGCTGGTGCTCCAAGTACTGCGTTTTTTGTCGCTGGCCATCTGAAATTAGATATAATTCATTTTTTTAATATATTTCATTTGTTTTTAACAAATTTTTTAAAATAACTTACTTCTGATATGTTTTTTTTCGGATTCTCTTTTAATTATTTCCGTGCTGTCAACCACAGTCACCATTCACAATAGAAAATATATGCCAATTTTGGACAGCGTTGCCAAATGCAAATTAGAAAATCCAGTATAAATGCTCATTTATTTCGTGCATTTCCATCGAGCCAATGCGCATTTGTGAGAGGATTATTCACGAGTTAAAGCAAATAAATGCTGCTAATGCAAATAATCCCATCAATCTGTCTACCGTATAAGCAGCAAAGCTCCATCTAACCGAATAGCAATTATTATATTCAAGTGTATAAATCAGGTAAACAAGGCTTTATAATTTTAGCCTGCAGTAAAACCAGAAGGTTCGAAAAAAAAATGCTTGATACTTACGATGTTGTTTTCATTAATAATTTCCATCAAATTACCAGAAACTTTTGTAAATATGTTCATTTAATGCACATTACGTCGAGTGATCACAAATTAACTGTGTGTATTGCCAGCCACAACAACTCGTACACCCAGTGACTTAGCTTTGAGCAACAAAATCCATAGCAAAAAATGAATATAGAGAAATAAAACAAACTAAAAAAATTTATTAGCAAAGAGTGTTAAGAAAATATGTGAGAAATTTTGCCTGCGCAAGCGGGTGGTTCTTAGCGCTGATAGCATAGGGAATAGCAGGTCGCAGAAGCTTGGACTGTGGCACTGAGTAAAAGAGATTAATTTGCAATTTGTATGCCACAGTGGCGCTGAGGTCGATGGCGCAATCAGGAACTACAACAGCAGCGGCAAGAATGAGGTAAATAAAAAAAAGTATATGTTTTGATGTAAGCCTGATGTACCAACTTAATGGCTAACAGAGAAGAAAATTCGGAGGCTGTAAATAAAAACTGAAGTGCACAACATGCTTTGGTGTATAACATATAAACATACTTACATATGTATAAGCATAAGGTTGTAGTTGACTTTTGTTTATGGATGTATGTGCAGCTGCAAATTCAATTCCTTGTAATCCACTAATTTTGATTGCCTTGCGGCTGAGGTTATGAAAATCTGATTGGGAACTAAATTAACTTTGTTGTGTTTTCCTCTGATATTTTGCGAAAACAAATCAGTTTTTTAGTAGCAGAGTGATGAAATGTCACTTTATGCAACTTTCTTGAAAATCAATTTCTTTTTTTTTTCATTTCTAAGTTTCACTTTCCCAGCAAAAGCTTTGACTGCTTATTTTCTTTGAGTTGCTTTTCTCCATTTTTGCATCTGAAGGTTCAAGCTGCTTAAATTTTTTTTACAAGATGTGTTTATTTCTCTTCTGTGTCACTTGTTTTAATTAGATTCACTTTTTTGCTTTTTACCTTCTCTGTTTTTTCGTTTGTTTTTATATAAAATATTTTACTGTTTTCTTTGTTTACGCTAATGACTCAATCAATTTTGTTGCTCACTTGTTAACCTTATTTTGTTTAAGGCAGCCTTTGTTATCGCTACTAATTGTGGTGTAATAAGAAAGCAAAGAAGGTGACTTAAGCAAGGTAGAAAAACTTTTTAAGTGTTCTTTATTTGAAGGTTAATTGTTTCACGATTACCACTAAGCTTTTCAAAGGGCAACCACAGTGCTGTGAATGTGGTACCTAATACGAAGAAAATGATGGATATTAGTTGAAACTGCACTATGAAATAACGCCCAACAATAAAATCATCCACTAATTCAATAATATTGAAAAAAGATATTGAACAATTTTTAATAAAATTCGTTTTGTGCCATGGATAATTTTAAAACATTTCCAAATTTTACGGAAACACGACAGCTCATAAAAGCTATTAGATAAGCACTCTTAGCCACTCCCGCCTTTATCTCAAGCTTGTGATATGTAGTAGTGCCAACCTCTGCTAATATGTATGTTATATTCCAAATATGTTTAAATAATGGAAAAGAAAAAAACTGGTCGATTGTGTTTACTCAACACTTGCGTAAAACTAACTGTAAATATAAAGTAAGTACTTTACACATTCATAGGGTATGTTGGCGTTATTAATCTCGCGTATCTACTTTTTGTAACTTCTACGTAAGCAGCAATCAGTATGTGTGGACGAGGAAAGATACGTCGAAGCAGCCTTTAATCAGATTCGGGGCGCCTAGTTTTTGTTAGAAAGAACCACAATCCACCAAATTGTTCAGAATTGCGACCCGTTGAAAATTATTGAAAGAAAATAGCTAAAAACGAAATAAGACATCTAAAATTAGCAGCATTTCCAAAATTAGTTGGCAGAGAGCAGCAGACACCGTCAAAAAAACGAATGTCCATAAATTGCGCAATTTTGTTTATAATGAAGATAATTGATATTATTATTATTATTATTATTATGGGCCATATGCACCGCGACCTCTAAAGTGGTATATTGTGCGCGGGCCCCCGCCCTATATGGGAAGGCCTTTTTGTGTAGCCTAGCACCTCCAAAAGCGTTTTTTCCAAATTTCAAATGGATGGAGGGTAGCGCCACCAAAGGAAGCTAGTCCTCGCCTAGCTAGAGCGGCATATTCACAGAGAAGGTGGTATGGCATTTCTTCGTCAAGCTCACAAAAACGACAGACATTCTACAGATAAGGTGCTCTACTGCTTTGAGTTCTCTTTCTTTCCTGTAGCTTCCAAAACAGTCGTCGTAAGCAATGCCCATTCTTCTGGCGATGGTTGCCAACTGGAAAATTCCTAGTAGGAACCATTTATATCCTCGAAACACCAGGTCTCGCTTAACTCAGCAGCTACAGGGCCTCATTATGGATGTTGGAGAAGATAATATGAGAAAAGAAACTGAATCGTGCACGCAAAATTTTTTTGCAAGAGCTACGTTCTTTCTGCCTTCTCAGAAATAGACATACAAGCAAAGCGTTTGGTATCTCGGTCACCAAAAAAAAAAAAGAGTCCGAAAAAGTAGATGACTTCGTTAAATTAGGAGCAAACATTAACACCAATAATATTGTCAGCCTTAATCTCCAATGGAAAATCACTCTTGATAACAAGGCGTACTTTGGACAAAAAAGGCAATTCAGTAGTAAAATCCAAAAGTCGCTCATAATCTCCGTGCTGGCGTATGGCGCAGAAGCATGGACAATGAAAACATCTGATGAGGCGAGATTTTGAGATAAAGATTCTGCGGAAGTTTTACGGCCCTTTGCACCTTGGCTATAGCGAATCGTATCATTTTATTCGTGACTACATATGTTTCACCTAGTATGCTTGGCTTAGTAATGCAACTTTGAGCATGCACAATTAAGCCTTCCCATTTCGGGTGTAACTTCACTTTTTCTTATGACATATTTCTAATCTCACCTAAATAAATCAGGCCTAATTTTATCCAACTGAATTTAACCTGAAAACCCCTTTACCGTCGCTCGAGCTATTTGCTATTCTTATACTTCGTAGTTTTTATTCAACTTCTTGGCAATCATTTCTTATTTTAAATTCACTCCTTCCTTTTCTTTGCAGCGCTGTCAGCGAAGGCGTACTCACCGATAATCCACATCTCGTATTGCTCTTCTATCTGGCGCAACGTTTCCTACACGAACTAATAAAAAGTTATCGCCTCATACAGGTGGTGCCAATGGACATGTCCGGTTATTACGGTAAGTGTTTACGTGTGCACTCACACCGATACGTTCGCTGGTGCATTTCAACGTTTACTCTGTTCACACATCATAAATGTAGATAGCTTTGGATGTGAAGTTTTACTCTCAAAGGGCATTCCAACTTGGTTTCACACTTCGCCTTATTTTATTGTTGTACGATTGCCAGCGAAAATCTCGAAAGGTTTGTGGTGCTTACTTTTATTATGGCTGACAGAAATTGAAGTGAATCTCTTAAGCACATATACGCACACTTTATTATAGGGAAGCTTAAATAACTGAGAAAAGTTGTATAGCATAAAATGAAGGGACACAAAAACTAAAAAAAAAATCCAAAAAAGTGTGATTAGTTGAAATTCACATGAAAGAGTTTCTGAGTCGGTCTCATTTCAAAGTCTGATTGAAATGGCGTAGCATGACAAGCACTACAGATTTAAAGAAAAAATAATAATTAAGTTTCATTTGGCATTTTCATGCTAATATTGGATTTTTTTACACATTTCCGTCGGTGTAAGAGTATAAGAAATTGTTATACGTTTCTGTACGCCTATTAGCATATGTATGTGTACATATCGTCGATGTTTTTGCCAAACCGCCCATCGACCAGTTGCAAAACCGCCCAAATCGCCGTTGTGGCAAAAATTTGATTTGGTAACCCTGAACTCTAGGCACCGATATTTATGCATACAAATCTTTAAATCGTATGAATGCTGTGCTCCTGATAGGCGATCGCGAGTAATACCGTTCCGGTTATGCAAACAAATCAGCCTATCCAGGGTTTTAAATAAAAGCGGAGAGCGGCTGATTTGCCAGAAATCCTTGCGAGAGGATGTACCCCCAATGAGCCCAACCAACGGAGGGCAAACATTTCAAAGTAATGCAACGCCATTAAAAAAATTTTGTTCTCGCTTCCTTTCTTCGGGAATAGTTCAGAGAAGATTTTTTTCCAGTTTCATTCTCTTTCAGAAAGTTTCTGAGGCTTTAGCTCGCAGAGTGTTTTTCGCGGGAAAAGTTCCTTATAACTTTGTTGCCGTTTTGTTCTTTGCCAAAACGTTCCAAAGACTTTTATTACCATTTTGCTCTCCTAGAAATGTGAACGTTCGACAAAGTATTTATGTAGTTTCGATCAAACGTACTTTTTTTTCACGGTCCCTGTTTAAAACTAATCAAGCTTGACATTATCGCTGTGTTACAGGGTAGCGATTAGTATCATCCCAGATCCAAAAATAAAATTAATTTCTTAACGGTGTATCAAATCCTCAATACTTAACAAAAATTTTATTCGTCAGCCAAATGAAATACAAATTTTATATGTGACTTGATTTGTCATGCAAATCAATTTGATTCGTGATTTTCCAACTAAGAACAGAAATCGGAATTTATTTTAATTTTATTTTTAGTCGTCGAACTAAATCACAAATTAAGTTTATTTCTAAATTAATAGCGGATTTAAAATCAAATGGTACGCACTTAAGTGTGCATGTGCGTGAGCCGACTTGCCATTTAGTTGAATAACTTATTTCGTTGTAAGCATTATTGCAAACTTCTTCAAGTTCATTGCGCATTACGTTCGCTTTCACTACCAGTTGGGCTATGACTCACTCAGCACTCAGCAACTCTCTGTAGCGCGCCAACAACAACACATACATACTTTAACTCAGTCGCATTGCAAAAGTTTGCTTTTCTTGCAAATTAAATGCTTTTCACGTGCACTGATTGCATTTGGGTTAAACTTCCACTGCTGCATAGTTGATATATCCCTGCAGGAAATGTATCTAACTACTATAAGTTAACTTGAAGTTGATTAGAAAGAAACTAAATGTCACCATTAGCTCTATATTTTATTTGAGAAAATTTAATGGCGATGGTCGTGAAATAGTCAACGCGTGATTAACTTATAACTTACTACTTTTGGACATAAAATATCAATAAGAAAGTAAATACTTTTCAATTTTTTTACTAATTTTCTTAACTTACTTTATTTAACATTACATATTTGTAGCTAGGTCCCTGATTCGAATCCCGTCAGACATAACTTCAAAATGATAATGCAATATTTCGATCTTCAATTTATTTGTCATGAATTCGAAAAAGCATTTGTGAAATGCAGAAACAAAGTGTGTTCAAAATAAAATTTTCATGAGGATATTTCAATAGAATTTTTTTTAAAGCAAACAAACTGCCGATTACGTCTGCATGACTCCCGCATTACTTTTCATCTAATTTCTGGTTAGCTTTTTGTAGTTAAATAAAAGCTATATATTTTATCGAAATCCCACAAATAAGCTAACACAACAAGTGGTTTATTTTCTCAATTGATATTTTTTTCTGCAGGGGTGGCACTACCGTTACTACATCTACGGCAGAGATGCACAGAATGCGTAAAATAATTTAGTGTTTTTGTGCATTACGAAGCGAGAGTTTCTAGAATATTTGCACATAAAATTTCAATTTTGGTAAGATTTCAGTGCATATCGTTTACGCTAACTATTTACTAAATTATTTGTAAAGTTAGTGATGCGATAGTGTAATGTTTTATTTATGTTTTTTAGTTAGGAAGGGAAATAGTGATAAAGTTTTTATTTAATGGCCTGTAATGAGAAAAATGGTTGAAGTTTGAAAATTCTCAAAGAAGTGTACTGAAGCGAATCAATGCTTCGAGAAGCAAACAAATTTACTAAGAAAGAAAGTTGCAACAATTTTTATTTTTTCCAATTTCAATTTTTAATTTTTTATTATTGTTTGTTTTTTTTTTTGTATTTCACATGGCATGCTTTGATTTAAAAGAAAAAAATCAGAACAGTTTTTGACACTTTCTATTCCAGAAGTAACAACAAAATACACGCAAATGTTGTTTTTGCTCTAATGCTACTACCTGTTTTATATGCCTTGGTACCTACATAATCTATTGACAGTTTTTTGAAATTTTCTGGACTTTTTGGAACTTGGGATCTGATACTTTTCTGAATTGTATGAATTTTTTGTGACTTTCGGGATCTGTTTTTAGGGATTTCGGGATCAATTGAACAGAGCGGAGTCCAAAAACTGCCAATGTTTGGACTGTTCTGACCTAAGACGCGGAAGATTTACGATAGTCACAACAACTCTGCAAAGTCCAGAAAAGTTCCGAAGATCCGGTAAAATCCAAAAACTGGAAAAACATTCTCGAATATTTAAAAAATTAAATATCGAAAAGTCCCGAAAAAAAATCCTAGGTAAATCCAAATAAAGTACGGACAAATATTTTGAAAAAATAAACCGATAAAATTTCAAAAGGTCTCGAAACAACCGAAAAATACAAACCCATTTAATTCTTTAATTAAAATTAAAAATAATTGAGTAAATTTCGCTTATTATTCTATCATTAAATTCCAGAAAATATGAAGAGTCAGTATCTGTTTATCTCGAAATAATAGCGGTTAAAATTTTTAAATTATGTGGAAATCAATTTATTTAATAAATATTTTCGTAATCGCAATTTAATTTAATTTTAAAATCCAAAAATTCTCTTATATTGATTTTTAGAAAAAAAAAATACTGAAAGTAGTTTTCTTTCATTCCCTCCATATTTTTTTACAGAAAATCGCGCTGGTCCCTCAAATCTCGGCAATGTCATCAGTCAAATACTGCTATGCAAACAAATAACGCCTGACTTCAATCAAGAGGAATTATGCAGCATTACAAAGGATTCACAGGACATAGCGGTGCTATTGTCCGAGATGCAAGAATATATGCCACAACATGACACATATCTGGGTGAGTAATTGCAGCAATATGAAAGAGAAGTAGAAAGCGAATACGAAGAATGGGGGGGGGAAGCATAACACGCTAACACAAAAGAGCAATTATAACTAGTAGTAGCTGGTATAACAAGCGTTTGGGGAATTTCGCAAAGTGCAGCTGTACGAATGGGGAAATGTTAATATGTACATAAGTGTGTATGCATGTATGTGGGTAAAGTATTATGCGTTAAGGTAGATACGATTGGACATTGTGCAGGAATAATGCAACACTGAAGAGGAATTACTCACACTTGATGGAATAGCAATAACGATAGCAGCAGCTGTGGCGGTGTATTGCCGTGTGTGCGATGTTTTATAGATATTCATACATACATATATTCACATATATTTCTACGTATTCAGATAAATGTAACTAGTTAAGTTTTAATGCAATAATATGTGCTGCAGTGCTGCTGAACGGACAAAATTTTAGTTATCTACTCAGCATTGAATAAGTATATGCATATACATACATATATATTAGGGCGGGTCGAAATTTTTATATTCATTTAATCTTTTTGTAATAGTGATAAAATTTTGTTTTATAAGGTCAATTACAAGCCTGTAAAATATTATCATTTTATTTGAAGCGCAAGAGCCCGCGCATGGACCACCAAGTGTAACAAAGCACACTAGTCAGATAATGCGAATCCTTGTTACGAATTCAAGGTTTAGGAAAACGGTTTAGTGTTTATATTAGAGAATTAAACCAATTTTTTATGATCGATACAATTAAATTAATTAAATAATGTACTAAAACTGGATGTGACTCCAGTTATTCATATTAAGTGAATCTACATATGTAGATCAATACTCGAATTCACTATCAAACAATACCATATCGAGGATGAGTCGCCTTAACTATAATTTTGAGAACTATCTACATCGGGGTTTAACTACACGTATGGTTCTATTAATATAACACAGATTAACGAGATACTAAAAATTTGTATGTAAGAGAAAAGATTATTTTTTGCGTGTTCCTTCAAAATATATCGCCGATTTGAAATTGTATGGCAAAATAACTTATGAACGCGAGATAGTAAATTGCATAACCTATAATCTGATATATCGCCCGCTTCAATCGGTTAACCTATTCTCTAGATATTAGGAACGAAAGTTACTTTTTCAAAAATTTAATCCTTTGCATCAATTGCTCGAGCTAAAGATATGATTTACTTCAATCTTTTGTGGCCAATTAATATTTTCCTAGTACTAAAATAACATAATATTACTATTACAATACAATCAAATGACCTTTATTTTCCCCCAGACAAAATCGACCCAGCCTAATATATATGGATCTAAAAAGTATTTGTTTGCATTTTTTACCCGTTCGGGAAACGTACTAGTACCGAACTGGTTTAGCACTAGAGAATTTAGAACAATGACAAGTTCTCTTTTGTATGCTAGCGGCTTGTGAATTTAATATTGCGATGTCCTAGGAAGTGTCAATTGCCTTCCACTGCATTCTTTCTTCGATAGTTCCGCACTAGACCAAAACTCTATAGTTCCGAACCAGTTCTAAAATCTACAGACGAGAAAAGTGTGATGACTTTTTCAATATTTTTGCTTTTTTCCATGCCTGCGATTTTAAATTATTTTTTGCACAGAAATATGTTTTCAATTTGAAATTAAATGTGTTTTTGTAAGAAATTTACGTTTACATACCTTTGGCTGTAGCTGCGTTTGCAGAGGTGCTTGCTGTTATCGGTTTGATTACAGAAGGTCCCAAAGTATTAAAATTTTAACACAATTTCTTGTGTTTTGTATTACCAAACTGTGAAAAAGAAGCTGCGAAATGTAGAATGAAAATGTTTTTTCTAATTTGAAAATGGAGAAGCTCTTGTTTTCCAACTTTCATGTTTCGAGTAAGTCGACAACCGGTTTTCGAAAAAAAGGCAACCAATCGAACACCCTAGTGTGCATGCTTGACCGCGTCTCATGCAAACTGCTGACATTGATGGATGCGGTTAATTGAGAAAATTATTTTAACAAGTTGGATACCATAACATTTATCAAAGTAATCAGTAACGGTTTAGTGGAACTCGAAAGTGGTCATAGTTTATTGATTTTGTGTAGAAATGTTTATCTATGCATACACACATATGTATATATGTGCCATTCAATTAAAGTAGCCTAAGTTCGGATAGAGCCTTTTCCTTTTAGTGCAACATTTCATTGGGTTCCCAAACCATATTTTAACGTTTAACTAGCCATAGGTGTAGTTCAAGATGCCCTTTTAATAGAAGCTTAATAAAAATAAAAAAATTTGCAAGGGATTAATTCATAGTCAAGCTTTTAAAGTCACTTAAGCTACTTTAATTGAACAACACAGATATGTATGTGCGTACATGATGGAAATTTATCCTGCAAAAACTACAAATTATAATTGCATTTTATCTCCATAATTAAATCGTCAAACAGTTTCGACGGCACGCAACTTAGCGGTATGTATGTATGTATTACTTAGTGTGTGTACGAAAGCTCTTGTATGTTAATACATAGGTGTTCTTGTAAATTTGTGTTTGGATGTGTGTTTAGCTGCGTTAAATATTAATCATACGCCTGGGTGAGCTCTAATTAAAATGTCATTCATTGGTGGTGTCTCCGCAAAATACTATCAGAGTTATGAAAATAATTTAGCATAACTTTTCATAATTTTATAGTTTTGCGTTGTAAACAATTTTTTATTTTTGCTGATAAATATTTTCTTTTCTGTTCGATTACACTGTATTTTTTCGCTTAATATTTTAGGTTTTGGCTGCTTACTTTAGATATTTTTTGACGCTTTATCGTGTGCAGCCAATGATCGTCACAATTGTTTTCTTATGGTGCAGACTTACAATAAAAACCAATTTTAAAGCTGCAAACCTATGTTTAATGCTCCAAAATTTTGAAATTCAGGGTGACAACTAATTTGCAATTTCCGATGGGAAAGTTGCTCTTGATGGGCTATGCTATGAAGTAAAAGATTTCGAGTTATCAGCTGGAAATGTCAAGGCAAGCATTACTACCATTAGGACGCCAGATAAGTCCATGATAACTGAGGCTTTCTTAACCACAGGTGGGATATTGCTGTTGGCATTTCAACTGTCTATACAGATAATTAACTCAAAAGTGACAACCAAGAAAATTGAATACGTGGCCTAACTTATACATTTAATAAAATACAAAGCGTTTAAGTAACAAAGCTGATATACCTAAATATATGCATAGATAATTCAGTCGCATTATACTTAAGCAAAGGAGATTTTTTCTTAGGTACCATGATTTCACCAAAATATAGCTAACTTTGAGCTTAGCTTGGCCATGAAAATAATCCCACAAAAATATCTCGAGTCCAAACAAACTTGCGAATCATTGAGGCATCTTCGAAATATATCACCTTAACTTCATTTCAGTCAGATGAACCACGCGAAATTGCATTCAGAGAACGCACATAAAATTGCATACGTTTGCAAATAATTCATGCCCCCATAACTTTATAATAGATAAATAGGGGGACTTTCATATGGTGTAACAATTGACCCCTAAAATTGATCCTGAGAACTGCAGAGTAACGTTACTCTTCAAATGACTGTACTGTGATAACAATGGGGCAATTGTTCTTGTATACTACCTCTTGCACTGATCATTACTAAGCCCTTTGATATGAACCACACTAGGAGCTCCGTTTCAGGAAGAAACTTGTACGTGACCCACCCGGGGTAAGATTTGTCCCGCCTGTGTCAGCAGAATTTGGACTCCTTAATAATAATCCATTAATTTTTGTTGTGGTTTTTGATTAGTTATTCTGCTGGTTCTTTTCTGTACAATATAACATTTAAATTCGATAGAATTTTTATGGAAATTCCAGACTTTTATATAAAGTTTTGGGGTATTGGGCAGTATCGATACCAAAAGTACCAAGAACTCGATTCTCAAAAGGATCGACAGCACCCGATTTTCAAAAGTATCTTCTATTTTATTTTATTTTATTTTATTTTATTATATTTTATTTTATTTTATTTTATTTTATTTTATTTTATTTTATTTTATTTTATTTTATTTTATTTTATTTTATTTTACTTTGTTTTTTAATTTTAT